CTTGGCTGGAACAAACAAATAAAAATAGACGATAACAATCATCGTTGGAGGGTATCGTCGAGCTCGTAAAAGTCGCCGCTTCGGCGTCGCGTCTGCAGCGATACAGAGCGATCGGATGTCGTGGCACCAAGCTTAAAGGACCGCTACGAAACTCTTGGGATCATCGAGAAACGATAAAGCGTCCGAGTCGCCGTGGCAATAATCCGGAAGTTGTAGAATCGATCCTGGGAGCACGTCCCAGATGCCAAATCGGAAACCGTTTATGGGCTAACGAGCTGGATTTTTCGACGATCACCTAGCCTACTTGTCGAAATTGAAGCCCCTTTGTCGATTTTGCCACTGTAGATAATATAATATGATACTATTTCAGTCCACTTTTTCCCGAAATTTATTTTTTAAATTTGATAGAGATTGTATTACCCATTTGATTTGGTACATTTGATAGAAGATTTTTATTATCAAACTCATTGCCCTTATTTGTTTTAATACCCGCAAAATTTATTGCAATATTGAACTATATTTTATGATATTAAAATTAGAATTTCGTATACTAATTACCTTGTTTATTCTCAGTTAATTTTTATCACACACTGTAACATGTAGTTTATAATTACAGTTAGGTTGCTAATGTCAAAATTTAAAGAACGTATTATATTGAAAATAGTACGTGAAATTTTTGAAAATCTGTTGAGCCTGGACTTTAAATTTCGAAGAGTCGAGCGGTATACAAATATTTCAACAAATTATCATCCATGATTATTATCTCTGATAATTACTCTCGAAGCATCTTCTTAAATCTCAGTCAACCATATCGGAATTTATAAGAATCAGAGCAGGGAGATAGAAGCTTGGAATACAAAAATACCATGAATTAAGCGTAAAATATGATATAGAAAAAATTTGGGTTGAAATTTTTCGAAAAATTCGTCCCGTTAGCCTTACAGGAACTCGCGGAGCATCTGAGGGGTGGGAGAAAAGTTGCGAGAGGGGTCGAAGCACGTCGACAAAAGCGCTCCGTTCGGCGCGTTTAACTCCGAGCCGTTTGCGGTTCGCGAGCTGAAGGGCAGAGAGTGCTCCCTCCGCTTCCGGCTGCGCGATAGTTACTGCAAATGCGATCACGAGCGGCGAAACCGCTCTCGGATACCGTGTCCGCGGCTTCGTTGACATGCATACAAACTTGGACAACTTTCGAATTGCAGATCAGCCGCTTGTACAGGCCAGCGTAGAAAACTTCTACTAGGAGGCGTTCTTCGATCGAAACAGCTCGAAGAGCCGCCTTTCAGCCCTTAGAGAGTCTAGTTGCTTTCCATCTTACGGAGTTAAACGATCGAAAATTTCTTTATTTACGAAATAATTCATCTCTTCCCTTCATGTGAATATTTCATTTATTTTGCTGGTAATTACGTATTTTCCGCGTTTTAATGGCTTTCGAGTCTAGAAATGTTAGTTTCTCTTCTTCTAACCTGATTTGTTTCGGTAGCAATTGGGTATTTTTAAGTATTTTCGAGGCAACTGAAATTGAAGTGAGGTTAGGTTAGATTTTATTAATTATAAATCCTATTTCTTTGGGTATGAATAGATGTTTCAGAATTTTTCCTTCCTTTCTCTTGTTTTCATTTATTTTGTTTATGTCTGTTTGTTTATTTTTGAAGATAATTGTGTATTTTTGGGCATTTCGAAGGCTTCTTGAAGTAATGTGAGGTTAATTAGGTTGTACTAACTACAAACACGTATTCTGTGGATATAAAATGAAGTTTAAAAATAATTGTTCCCTTCCTCTTTCCTTGGTTTACTTTTAGGTGACAATTTCAGAGTATACCGAAGGCTGCTCGAACTAAAGTGAGGTTAGGTTTAGTTGTACTAACTATAAACTCAGACTCCGTGGATATAAAATGAAGTTTGAAAATAATTATTTATTTCCTCCTGCTTTGGTTTACTTTTCAGTGACAATTTTAGATTACCACAAAGACTACTCGAATTAAAACGAGGTTAGGTTAAATTCAATTAATTATTAATTGTATAGGTATGAAAAAAAGTCTGAAAATATTCCCTTTCTTCGACTTTTTAGCTTCTTTTGATGACAGCTGTTTTTCTACAAGGTATTTCTAAGATTATTTGGAATTTCATAGAAAGTTTAATATTAAATTTACGTTTTTGGGGAGATATCGTAGAAAATTCGGAAATATGCATTTTTTATTTCTCCATCATGAATTTTTATTCTATTTTTTTAGGGTGTTTTTGAGGCTGCCTAAGTGTGAGTAATGATGTTTGAGGTTAGTTAATATTCAGCTCACTAAATATTCAAATTTGTTGCGTGCAGAGAGAAATTCTAAAATATGTGATTTTTCATATATTTCCTAGTATTTTTATAAATGTTCCAGTTCATAATATCTATGATTAATAATATCTATGGTGGATGGTATTTACTGAATCCTGAATATGTAAATTTAAAACTCATTCCTGTCTTTTATAATATCTTATGAATATCTTCTTAAATTAACTTTTCAACCTAGCCAATAATTGAAAAACATTTAATATTTAATAAACATATATTTTATTATTATAAACCCCTTATTTTTTAAATCTTCTTACAATCAAGATTACTATTCATATACTAATTTTAGGCTTTGCCAAAACAACGTTTCGTACCAATCAATTGAATTGCACCCAATTTTCGTACAATATTATATCAACATCGGTCTAAATATATTTACGATTATAATATCAATATATTTCACATAAAGAAGTATTTTGTTTTCTAACAAAGAGGTGTATACCAATTTTAAATGACACTAGAGTTCAATTTTCATGTACATTTTGCAAATATACAGCTACCAGTAACGTAGCAAGGATTTCGCGTAATTTCCTGACAATATTCCAGAACAAATCTCTGAACACCCAGTATATAAAACGACAATATCGTACAAGGAAGACATCCACTGCTGTACTTTAAAGATGCGACGAAATTGCAGGCGATATTCTTGGTAACAGCCGATTTATAAACGTCAGAGACCAGCATACGTACGTCTTCGTGCCCCCTTTTATGAACCATGAACCGCGTTCGAAGTGTACGAATAGCTATTCGCGTTGCGAAACGTCTGCACTCGCCGATGCGTGCTCCGATGCGCACGTTTCACGCATATATTTGTCTTTCGAGTCTGCTTTTATGCTCGCTCGCATTGATCTCGCGCTTTGAGACCGTCTCGCGCTTAAATGACGAGCGACTGTCGATAAACAGGCACACGTGCACAGAGGGACAAACGAGGCGGAAGGTTTAACGGGAAAAATAAAATAATAAGAAAAATGGCGGCGTTCCGAACAAATTCGTGCACGATGGAATCTGTTTTCCGGTTGAGTCGTAATTCGCCAGAGGGAAGTCTGGGGTTTTGGAATATTTTTTTGCCGACCATTTTTTCGGTTTTGGTGTCCCGCAATTAGCGTCCTGTATTTTATTCTCGAAGAGTTATTTATTTGCGAAGAGCTATTTTATTTTGTTTTCATTATAACATATTTGAAAAATACGACGTTGAGGTTCAGTTTGCGCAAATCGATTAATAATTTAATTTGGCATAATCGGTATTGATCTGCAAAATGCTAATAATAATTTTTATAGGCACATGTTCTTTTAATTTTTCACTATTTTATTTGGGAATATAATTGATACAAATACAAGCTCTTCTCACATCATTTCACTTTTTCACTGACCACCCTGTATCATACTACAGAGTATAATACAGAATAATATGTTCAAGTTAGAATATAATAAACTCAAGTTTAAAAATATGGAATTGGAGAATTGATCAGAACTTTCGAAATGCAGCAAAGACAGACATCTATTACGAAGGGGAAAGAAAAATTACAACAACTTACTAATCTCAATAAAAGTTTTCTTTGAAAATACTGTCTTGTCAGTGTCGTAAAGCTAGAAGAGTTTCGAAATTACGTTTACTCGAGTTTGCAAAGAAATTACGTGTAATTCCAAGTTTTCCTTCTGTCTTCGCAACAATATTTTTCCCTAACTTCCTCCTTCCACGAAACCCCTATGTTTTTATCGAAACCTCCATTTTTAAACCCTGGCTAGAATCCCCGTTCACGATTTTCTCGCCACAAAAAATCCATTTTGAATAAAAATAAAATTTAACATCTTCCTTTACACCTGTCACTGAAAAAAACAGAGTCAAGCTACAAAGATGGCGTCTGGATCGTAAAGTATCCAATAAGCAATAAAGTCACTCCCCACCACTTTTCGACGAAAGGTAATTGCGATTCAGTCAGGCAGAAATTTTCGTAAAAGAAAAAATGTTGGGCAAAGGAAGTGCGCGAGGTAGTCAAAAACCGAGATAACTTCGACCAGCAGGAAGCGTGTTGGGTTGAGGGTGGGCTGGCGTGGGCTGGAGAAAAGGGGTGGAAGCAGGAAGCAACGGGGGGCAGGAAGAGAAGGAGACTACAGTGGAAGGTAGAAGTTGCGGAACGGAGCTAAGTAAGCAAGGTGGCAACTAGTAGGGACACAAGACAAGCTCGAAAAGTTTTAAGTAGCTACGCGATACTACTTGCCCCTCTTGGTCCACTCGCCCCTTCTGCACCCCCTAGTAACCGCTGCTGTCTCTATTGCGCCTCGCAGTTTGTCTTTTCACCGTGTACAAATGCCTCGGAATTGCGTGCGTATGCGAGTGTGTGGATATTTACACAGCCCATTCTCCCAGGGGCCAATGGGACCGCCTTTTTTGAAGATTTTTCAAGGGTTGTTTGAGAGTGATCTTTCGGGTTTGCTGGCAGTTGGGAAAGTTGTGTTTTTGAACTTTTGATCGCAGCTTTGCGTTTCTTTTAAGGCCTGGAAGAGGGTGTTTGAGAGTTTCAAAGGAACTTTTTTATCGGAGTGTCGTTTGGGGTAGATTTATGAGTCCTGATTGTGTTCGGAGATAGATCGATTAGGTCTTTTCTTATAAAGGTACTACTGTATTGCTTTGATTTCAAGAAGGATATTTTTGTTTCTGTTCCAGGGAAGAAAATTGTTACCGCTGTATCGTCATGCTGATGAAACATCCGAATGTTCTACAGTATAAAGAAAGTAAGTTTCAAACGTAATTAGTATAATTCCTTTGTTTAAATAAATTTAGATTTTAAAATTCTCCTTTTCCTTTTTCAACTCTTAAAATGAATAAATTTTTATCGATTTTCACATTTATTATAATTCTAATCCAAATTTATTCTCATTGCAATACCGGGTGAAAATACAGGGTGTCCCAGAAAGACGTATACACACTTTAATACCTTGTTCTTTCTAATTTATTATTTCTTTTCTAGGTACAGCCCATTTAAAATAATGGCTGATTTTAGACTAGACTTTGAAAAACGTAAATACATTTTAAAGTGCTACCACTATGATCTGTAATCCATCTAAATATATACTGCTTCATAATCACGCAAAGTGTGTATACACTTTTTTGATACACCCTGTATAATTTTATTAGAAAGAAATTTTGTTCTTATTGTGCTAATATTTACAAATTGTATGGAATGTAATTATTCGCCATTTTTCTCGAAAAATGTTTAATTGTTTTTATTAATTTCTCTTCAGCCTATTGCACAGAGTCGCCGAAGCCAACTCTGTCCTCTATATGCAAGGAGTTGACCAGCGACACCATACTTGTTTCGTTGTTCCGCACGGGGGCAGCACCGATGCCCTGCCCCTTCAAGGGGCCTTTAGAATTCACGTACAGCCACGGGGACAAAGAATGTAAATCGCCTTTGTCCGCGGCAGAAACTTGCACTCAGGAGTCACGACTGCTTCTACGCTATCAGGCGTGTCCTAATGTCCTCACTTCTGAAAGTGTTGGTGAGTATTCTTCATTACTTTTTATTTATATTTTGATCACATAACCTATATGTTCAGGCCCCTTATCCTAACGTAAAATTTATTCCTCCTAGAAGATTTGTAAGGAGACAAGTTAAATACTTCCATTTCAAGGAATCAATAATTTATTATCAAACAATTTATATTCGCATAATTTTAATAATTTTAATATTTACATAAATCCATCTGCTTGGAAATTGGATTCCTTCTTTCATTAAGTACTCGGCAATAACGCGTGTTCCCAATTTTTGTAAATTCACCTTAATATATATTACGTTATTAATTTACACAAAAATTAAATTCTTCAGAAATTAGAATAAAAGCTTGATTCATAAAATTAAATTTTCACTATTAATTTCAACAGTTGATATTTTTTGAAGTTCTTTGATATTTTCCTTTATATTAAAATTAACGTAAATGCACTCGTAGATTTTCTAATTCTCCAAAAAATTGCATTGTGTTTTTCATTAAATGCTCAGCAATAACGAGTGCCCACGACTTTTGTAAATTCCCCTTAACGAATATTGCGTTATTAATTTACGCAAAAATTAGATTCATCGTAAATTGGAACGAAAGATTAATTTACAAAATGGAATTTTAGCTATTAATTTTACCAGTTGATATTTCGAAGCTCTGTGACATTTTCCTTTCAAAATTTCGCCAGTCCATAACTCGTAATTGAAATTCCCCTTCCATGACTAAAAACATTAACCTATCCTAGAAACTTCTATTATGTGAGCCTCGCCTATTCATTTCCCCTTTCGTCGCTCGCAACAAGAATATGTTCGTAAAACTGAAAAATTGCGGGAGGCGAGAGAGAAAGTCCGCAATATTTCCCTAGCCAAGAGGCGTTCACAGCGAGGAACCATAATTTTTCTTGACACACCGGGTACCATCCAGTCGCGACGTTAATTAACACGACACACAGGGGAGAGAATCTGCGATGGTCAATAGAACTTCCGGTGAATGATTAACAGCCCTGTCAATTACCATTTGTTGCTGCTACCCTCTGTCCGACCGATTTTCCGCGATTATTATAGCGGGCGAAAACGCGCGCTGGTATAATTCATTCTACTCCGCGGTAGTGCGGTTTATTAACGGTTAGAATATTTCCGTCCATAATTCTCGCAGCGGACGATTTAGCCTTCCCCGTAATTGGAATCGTAATGCATCGCGGTGTAATTGAGGGAAGCTAATGGCGGCCGGGAGATTCATGCGATCGATGAGGATTTTTGTTGTTCGATTTGCGTGAAGACATAGAGCACGTTAGTTCAGGGTGACTCGACCGATTGATGGATCGTAGAGCGATGCTCTAGATCTCTGCTGTGATACGCTTCGTATTTCGTTTAATACTGTGCTTTGTCCCTAGACGTGGCGTTGGAATGCCTGGCTACGTGGAAGGAGGGAAGCACTCACAACCTGGTGGCAAGGTTACACGATCCACGAAAAACTAGCGACGAGGACAGCTATAGATGCTTCATCTATGAACAAACTTCGAACAATTCGTGGAATTTGGCGCAAAGTGCGGATGCTTCTTGCACGGGTTTGATCAGCGTTAAAGAGGCAGCCAAGACGTTCAAAATGAAACCGAGTGAGTACTCGTGTTCAAAGTTCGTGTAGCTTTATTTAGAAATGCGAAGTTTGCAGTTGTTTCGTTACAAGACTTCTTAACTTTTCGCGAAGAATAATTGTCGGAATAATTTCACTAGGAACTTTTTTTTTAAGAATATTACTAGAAGCTATGGAAATTTATTTTCAAAGAATTTTATGTAAATTTATTGTCAAAGAGTTTGCAATATGATTTGGATACCCTTATTTAATTCTAGTGTTGCAAATTTTGCAGCTGGAATTTTGTAAACATTAACACGTGAATTATTAAACCATTGCATTGTTATTGCAATATTATTTTTAGGAAGAACAATGGAGTTAACTAAAGAGAATAACTAAAATTCAATATTAACATGTTACCAGAATTTATATATGGCGAGTGTTACTAAACGTTCTCGAACCTAACCTATATCTTATCTAAAACATATGTAACTGAAATTAATTCCCTATGTCATTCTTTATTTTTAAATTATGATTATTAACATAAAATCCTTAAACTTTTGTAGATGTTCTGATACATATGGGATTGTGAAATGTATCACTAGAAAAGTGCACCAAATAGAAAGAAGTCCCTAGAATGTCACTGTCAACCGGCATCATAGGATTGTCGTCGCCACAAAAATCCCTAGACATTCGTACCACGACCATCAATATCGAACTATGTCCAGTTCACTCATTACCTATCTCAAACCTAACCTCAACCTTATCAAAGAAACATATATAACTAAAAGTAATTCCCTATGTCATTCTGTATTTTTAGATTATGATTATTAACATAAAAGCCTCAAACTTTTATAGATGTTCTGATACATATAGGATTGTGCAATGTTTCACTAGAAAAGTGCACCAAATAGAAAGAAGTCCCTAGAATGTCACTGTCAACCGACATCATAGGATTGCTGTCGCCACAAAAATCCCTAGACATTCGTACCGCGACCATCGATCGAGCTATGTCCAGTTCACTGATTACCTATTCCCTGAATGCTAATTCTCTTCTGACACCCGTATAAACACACAGACATACCCGGGTCTATACCTACGTTCACACTCTGTTTAGCCCAAAAGCAGCAATACTGCGGGCAAATTGTTGGCACCAGCGGTACACTGACATTATCGTTAACTGATGATCGTGCATCTTGGCACGAGGAAAACCGCGAGCACCGATAGCACCAGGCTCGAAGAACGTAAACTATGAGGATGTCCATGGACACCAGATCGGATTCTTGGGCCGCGTGCTATCGGCACACTACGTGGTGGTCGACGTCAGCTACTTGGGATATTCCATAGCATCGCATAGCTGCACGTAGCCTCGGTAGATTGCGATGATTCTGGCTGCTGCAGCCATGGTTAACCAAATTGAGGCGATCACCGGCCTCGTTCGATCCTGTGTAGACATTCTTGGGATTGATTTTGTACAGCAGCGAATCTTTGATCGGCCTAGTATGGAATTTTAACTCGGATTCTTGCGAAACGGTTAAAAGTTTCCGTTCTAACGGCGCATTCCTTTCATGACTCTACAGTGCATGCTCGCTTCCTGGTATTTCTGAATTTTTATTTCATCGTTTTGACGAATTAAAGGCTTCCGATATTATAGTTGCGGAGTATCTCCAATGGCGAATTCCAGATATTTTATTTTTTCCTGCTTTGAAGAAGATTTGTGCTGATTTTTATGTACATAGGAACGTGATTCTATCCTCGTTACAATACTATGATTTGTATCACTCGTTAGTGGTGGATGAAATATCAATAACAATAGGGACAATTCTTTATTTAATTACAAAAAAATGATCAAACACAAATATTAAGTATAAATCTGATTAATTTCTCGCAATCACATGCTCACACCTATTTTCACTATTACAACTCAATTACAACTGACCTATGCCCAATCTCTCTGGTTTGTTCTTTCTACTTTCATACGTTACATGACATACACAATTCACGCAACACCTCGATCATTACACGCATACTCGTTTATCACGATAACCTGAATCCATTAGATATTGGCATCCCATGCATACTTGTTCCACTCATTCCTTTCTTACAGACATCGCTCCTTTATTATATCGACGCATATATATTCGAAATCTATGTTAACCATTACCACATTAACTATCCTTTCTTTTTCATTTTTATATAATTCTACAGATTATAATTGCTTTTCAATTTTATCCTGATAATCTAGGGATGTAAGATTGCGGTGATGTTCCTTTTTAATAAACAGAGTCTAGAATGAAGTAATTATTGTATATTTAACACGTCGTCGCTACTTAATATTAGCAAAAATTATCAGATATCTGAGAAATCCAATTCACTTCTCAAAATTAAAAACGTAGAACATTGTTTAAATACACGTTAATATCTTTCGCTAATTTCATATTCGCAGATTTAAACACATAACTCGTGTTTAGTATATTTGGTTATACATTTACAGGTATTGCGATAGTTACGAATTGTTTCGGACTTTGCAGATGATTATGCACTAATTTGTTATTTTAATTGTCGAATGTACATAGAAAAAGTCACTATACTCAATAACGAAAGCAATAATTTTTATCGATTTATCTATTTATCCATAAATATAATTATCTTAAATTAATCTATTATTTTAATTTTTAAATATATTATACTAGGAAATATTTCTATTAAAAATTATTACGTAGTCGTTGATGAAGGTAATAATTTTTGCTAATTTTTCGATAAAATTGAAGAATCTGCGAATTTTTCGCTGTTAAAATAGAATTTTGAAAATCCATAATATAAATGGCAGGGAACTTATTTTTCCGTTGAATGAGACGGATTATATTTCATTTTTAGCATGGACTTAAATCTGGACCATTTTCACCGATGAAAAAGTCATCAATGATATAATCGTTTCTTCTTCGGTTAATCTGAGCATTCTATTTAATGTGACAAGAGACTCCAAGTTTGCGAGATTATTGATGTACCTTTTGGACCATTTTCCCTGATTAAAAAGTTATCAAAGAAATTACCGGTATTCTTTCACGTAATCACGGAATATTACATTTAATCCTACTTGAAATTGCAAATTTACCGGACTATTAAATTACCTTCTGGTCCATTTCCTCCAATTAAAAAATCATCAAAGAGACTATCAGTATCTCTTATATTAACCATGAAACAATATATTTGATGTAACTTAAAACCCCAAGCTGATCGATTTAATAGAATATCTTCTGAACTAATTAACAAGTCATCAAAGGAATTATAGTCTTCTCTGTAATTAGCCAAATACTGATAAATATTATACTCGAGGTCGATTTAATTACAATTACTGACCAGTCTTCTCTAATTAAAAATGTACAACGGAATTAATAAAATTTTTCAAATTCAAATTTTTAATAAAACTTCCAGTGTTGAGAACCCTATTAAATCGAGTCCTTGCAGGTTCATCATATAACTTGATCGTTCATTACCATTTTAATTCATCAATCTCCGGTCAGGACCAAACAGATCATCATCGTCGATCGGTCTGTTCGCTTCATTGCTCCAGTTTCGGTTTAAATACGTCGTCCCTCCTATTCTGCGAGGGTATGGTCGTGGGTACGAGTAGACAGTTGTATCAGATGGAGATGATCTTGTTGCTGGCTTTGTGGTAAACCGCGTTCAGTTGGATATCCCGGATACATGACTGATTGCGCGATCCTGCCACCGGCCAGATTTATTTCCAGATGTTTTCTGAATGACAAAACAGCATTTGCGGAACATTTTTATAGACGTGACAAATGCCATAATTACAGGTTTGCGTGATACAGCTTCTAGCAAGTGTAAATAAAATTCGAAAATAAAATATATCCATAGTGGATCGCGTGAAATATTTTTTAAATTAATTAAATCTTTCCTTCTTTCGTTCCGATTGAAGAGTGTCAATTAAGTGCATCAAGCACTTAGGGTAGGCCATGCTTATCTGAATTGTCCTAAAGAGTACCAATACTAGCTTTTTATTGATATTCATGTTTTCAATTATAACGAATTGGTCCTTTTGTGGAAATTGAATATTGAATAATTTTTACATAAATTTGAGGTAACTTGGGATGATGAAGGAGAGAAAAATGTAAATTTATTGTTTTATTATAGAATTGTCACTGAAGATAATACACTGACACAAAAATCTGACTATTTTGTTGTTATATAGTATTTTTTATTTATAACGAGTAATTAATTTTATTGAGAATCTACTGTAGAATTTCATACACTTCACAGCACAGGAGCTTGGCATCGCGTTGCTTTTATTTTTGCAAACAACTACGTTCTTTTTCTGTTTCACTTAATTCACACGCCTCGAGGGTTTTCAGGAATTAAAAAACTTTCTAGTTTAAAATTATTTTAGTTCGCGGTAAGGATTATATTACTTAATCCACTAATTAACTAACTAACTTTCCATGATATTTACGATCTCGAAATATAAAGAGTGTTATCGTTATTATACTAGAAGAAATTTTGAAAGATTTCGATGAAATTACAAAAGAATTTTAACATTACTTTCCTGTTGTACTTGCATATAACTATTTAAAATATATAAAATTGATTCTCCCAGAATTGAAAAATACAAATGTTCTTTTAATTACGAAAATATAAGGTACATGATCTTCTCGAATTATTATACATGCTTATTATTTAAAAAATACGGAATCAGTAGCACGAATAAAGAAATATGAAATATTATTTAAAAATATTTATATTATTAATATTTTATATAAAAATAAATTACCCTGAAATTAGTGATTTTAAATTCTGAAGACTAAATATCGACCATCGTGAGATAATTGTCTTTAATATTCATCGTTTGGAATATCGATAAACGTTTCATTAGGAAGAAATGTCGAAATTTCGACTGAACGATTGGAACATTTAAGCAGCTTACCAATTTTTCCACGACTCTGTTGCAACATTGGCCCGGGTGTTTCGTTAACCCCGTTCCCTGGCGTTTCCATTTAAACTTTCCAGAAGGCAGATTAGTCC